TATAAGCCGCATGTTAGCCGTTTAGAAGTCGTTTGTTAGACGTTTATAAGCCGCATGTTAGCCGTTTAGAAGTCGTTTGTCAGACGTTTATAAGCCGCATGTTAGCCGTTGATAAGCCATTTTTTAGCCGTTTATGAGCCGTTTGTTAGCCGTTTATAAGCCGTTTGTTAGCCGCTTGTTAGCCGTTTATAAGCCGCATGTCAGCCGTTTATAAGTCGTTTATTAGTCGTTTATAAGCCGTTTGTTAGCCGTTTGTAAGCTGTTTGTAGCCGTTTATGAGCCGTTTGTTAGCCGTTTATAAGCCGTTTGGTAGCCGTTTCCATCCGTTTATTAGACGTTTGTTAGACGTTTGTCAGCCGTTTGTAAGCGGTTTGTTAGCCGTTTATTAGCCGTTTGTAAGCCGTTTGTTAGCCGTTTATGAGCCGTTTGTTAGCCGCTTGTAAGCCGTTTGTTAGCCGTTTGTAAGCCGTTTGTAAGCCGTTTGTTACCCGTTTATAAGCCGTTAGGTAGCCGTTTCCATCCGTTTATTAGACGTTTGTTAGCCGTTTGTAAGCCGTTTGTTAGCCGTTGATAAGCTGTTTGTTAGCCGTTTGTAAGCCGTTTGTTAGCCGTTTATAAGCCGTTTGTTAGCCGCTTGTAAGCCGTTTATAAGCCGTTTGTTAGCCTTCTGTAAGCCGTTTGTTAGCCGTTTGTAAGCCGTTTGTTAGCCTTTTAAAAGCCGCATGTTAGCCGTTTATAAGTCGTTTGTTAGACGTTTATAAGTCGCATGTTAGCCGTTTAGAAGTCGTTTGTTAGACGTTTATAAGCCGCATGTTAGCCGTTTATAAGTCGTTTGTTAGCCGTTGATAGGCCATTTTTTAGCCGTTTATGAACCGTTTGTTAGCCGTTTATAAGCCGTGTGTTAGCCGCTTGTTAGCCGTTTATAAGCCGCATGTTAACCGTTTATAAGTCGTTTGTTAGTCGTTTATAAGCCGTTTGTTAGTCGTTTGTAAGCCGTTTGTAAGCCGTTTGTTAGCCGTTTATAAGCCGTTTGGTAGCCGTTTCCATCCGTTTATTAGACGTTTGTTAGACGTTTGTTAGCCGTTTGTAAGCCGTTTGTTAGCCGTTTAGAAGCCGTTTATAAGCCGTTTGTTAGCCGTTTATAAGCCGTTTGTTAGCCGTTTATAAGCCGTTTGTTGGCCGCTTGTAAGCCGTTTGTTAGCCGTTTCTTAGTCGTGTGTAAGCCGTTTGTTAGCCGTTAATAAGCCGTTTGGTAGGCGTTTGTTAGTCGTTTGTTAGCCGTTGGTATGCCATTTGTTAGCTGTTTGTTAGTCGTTTGTTAGTCGTTTGTTAGCCATTTGTAAGCTGTTTGTTAGGCGTTTACATCCGTTTGTGAGCCGTTTCCATCTGAGTGTTAGCCGTTTGTTAACCGTTTTTTTAGTCGCTCGTTAGGCGTTCGTTTGCCGTTTGTTAGCCTTTCGCTAGCCGTTAGTGTACGTTTTCGCGTTACAGGTCGCATATTTGTCTTTTTGATTACAATTACAAACACAAAGCCTTCATGCATTTGCTTTCAGGTTCACTGAGCTTCTGGACAGTGTGTTACATTATCTTCTTCCTTCTTGGAATTATTCAGCTGGGTCGTTTAAAGACTTGGAGGTAATACAAAACTTGATAAATTTCATAATAGAGCAGTCTTTATTTCAGTGTTGAAACTGGCACTTGTTTTCCCGCGCTTAACGTTAGCTACATGTAATAACTTCGAGCTTTGATTGGCTCACTGTATTGTCTGTGTCCTTTGTGACTGGCTAGGTTGATTACTTTGGTTTTACGCTACTCAGTTGAAAACTGCTCTAATTAGTGTTAATAATAACAAGTGTTTATCAGGTTTCACACGGACTTTGAAAGTCATTGAATCTGAAAATTGGAATTATGGCCTTGAATGTCCTTGAAGTTTTTGTATTTGTCCAAAACAAAGTTTCTCATAAAAGCCAAGCATGTTACTTGATTTATTTGTCTTTATATACTGAACTCTTTACCACCATAAAGATGGTTTGTTTTATTTCTGCCTTAGGCTATTCGACAACTTCTGCCTTTGTCCAAACACAGAACCATGCTGATTGAGAAAGCTATCAGAGAATCACAGTCTGGGTAAGGAAGGCACTACACTCACTTCAATGTCAAATTCTGACAAAACGGAGAGAATAGAACATGTAGAAAACCTGTCTCTCCCTTCCTTGGAATCACTACCCTTTATATAGCAATTCTCGAGGCCTTCAGAGACTTACAGACGGTAATTGCTCAAACCAAACCACTTGACCATGCTGCTTCTTTGCACGTGTATTCATCAACTATTCAATAGTTTCGACATTTGAAGATCAATTTTATTCTGCAGTACTCCAGCACACATGCCAAAGTTGTTCATCAACAGACGGTCAGCGGCTGAACACAGAGCTGATCCAACACAAGACCCAGATGCCAAACACTCCATACTTAACCAGGTCAGTTCACGTATGTTACATTTTCAGAGCCTACCATCATTACGTTTACTAATGAGTGCTGTCTTCAAGATCTCTGTTTTTGCTGCTGTTACTCTAAGTATCGCAGCTATAATTGGGGGATATTCAAGAAATGATGTACTGTAAGAGAGTTGATCCCCCTTATAGGCCTTGTTCCTAAGGTAATCCCTCTTACGTTAATTTTAGAATCCCAGTTGGGTCTAGAAGTAGCCATTCCAGCGATGCGGATTTTGCTCACGTGGACAGCCCAACTGGTTTTGCGCGGAAACACGAGAACATTCTTGCAACGCGCGTGGAAACTTTCACGAAAGAACTGGGTACCATGTCTAAAGATAACGTGAGAGGGAATACTTGGGGAAAAAAAGCCTAGATGCATGCATATATTCTAGGGGATGTTAACTCTCTAGTCTTAATCTGCATTTTCTCTCACAGAATATATTAATTTGCATTGATTAGCATTTTGTTATTCACTACTATACAGCAACAATAATAACAACAATAACAGTAACTTTATTAAAGTGTCGAGCCTATCCAGCCGAGGGTAAAGATCCTTTACTAATTAAGGACATAAAGAAATAAGAAATGATAAAAATAATATAACTACAGCTACCTAATTATCAATTAAAACAAGAAATTTAGCAATTATAATCATGTTATACATGTACAAGGGTAAATGTAATCGACATTTACTGGCTCCAGTTGTTCGAAAGTTGCATAACGCTATCCAGTGGATAGTTTGGTTTCTTTTGTGAACAATTATCCACTGGATAGCGATTTATCCGGTGGATAGCGTTATCCAGCCTTAGAACAACGGTTGCCTGGTCCGCAAAGGCTGATCTCCAGAAGAGAAAACCTTTCCCAGTATGAGAACGCCAGGGTAGTTATGTTAGTGTGATACAATAAGTTTGATTTGAAGACATTATCTGACCACTGTAGTGTTGTGCTTATGCTGTGGAAATTGCTGGATGAGCAACACCTTACTTATTGTCATTTATAGTTATATGAAGGACTAAAACAAGAAAAATGTGGAGTAAAGCTGGATTACAGGTAGGAACCGCACTTTCAGTGATAATATTACAATAGCATAGTGCGTTCACGTTTAAAACGAAGGTCCATGCTGAAATAATTACACTTGTAGTGTAGTTATAGCTTTTGCGTTAGATCAGATAAAAGATTTGTGACTTTCTCAGGAGATAATTAAAAGCGCCTTTCCAAAACGGTTGCAACAGCCTGCAATATAAGCTATCTCTTTCACTGGTAATTCTTGCTGCAAAGGCGTTGAATAATGTTGACATAATGTTGGAGATGGCTTCTCTTTTAGGCTAGAACAGTTAGCTCTGGGCATATACCAGTTATGCAACGGTTTCAAGTGATATACCATGGAATATCCCATACCATGCCATAGAAAATACAGTGGCTAACACAATGCATTCGACATACGTGCGGTGCATGGTGGGAACGTTGGATGTAATACCGTCAAATATACAACGGCTTTCCTGTATTCCGATTGGCTGTATTTTTTGTGGCATGGTATAAAACAGCGTATACTGTGGGCTTAAGAACCTCACTGTTACATGGAAGGCCGTCCAAACTGAGGATAAATTTTACTTCTCCAAGACACTCTGTCAGCCGCCGCCAGCCTTGCGTCTATCCAAGAACAGTAACCCATCGCCATTCACTCTTTCTCCACTGTCCTACGCCATGTTTCTCTGGGTCTTCCACTCTTGCATTTTCGTTCCGGTACCCACGTCAGTGCAACTCGTGGGATGGAACTGTTATCCATTCACAGCACATGCCCAATCCATGTCCACCTCCTTCTCTTTACTTGTTCGCTGATAGTTTCCATGTTAGTTCTCTTGCCCACCTCTTCATTTGACACTCGCATGGGCCAATAGATTTTTAGAAGTCTACTGACGCAGGCACTTGTGCTGGAAAGTATCTAGATTGGCTTCATCCCCCTTTGTCATCCTCCACGATTCACACATAAATACAGCAGTAACACAGTTAAACTTCAAAACCTTTCACTTTGTTCCTCTGATGTAGATGGTCAGCAAGATACGACCAGTGGTGGGAGTGTAAATTCCTGTCTGAAGGAATTATTGACCAAGGTTAGTATATTGACTTATTCGTTGGGTGCCCCCCCCCCCCGGCCCCGAGAGGAGGGGAGGACAAGTGACGGAGTAATGCAAGGGGAAGACAATGCGAGAAGATGGATTCTCAACGTGGAAAAAAAAACTTGGAGAAATAAAGAAAGGGGGGGGG